TATAATTTTTGAAATTGAAGTCTTCACCAGACTAAGCTGGCCACCTTTTAGGACTTGAAGTGCAACACCGTAGTTTGCACGTGCTTAGCTGCTTTAACCTTGTCCCCAGGGCGCTTTTCCCTCGCTTTGGAGGTGGGGCGAGAAAAGGCTCTGGCATCGTTCGGTCACATGACCACCAAACACCCAGAATTTGTGCGTGTACTAAATTAGCATACGATCGCATACGATAAACAGAACATCGAAGATGGCGGGTAGACCAGACTTTTTAATAGTGCTTCACCGGGTTGGATTTTCCCTGAAACAGTAACTTTCCATCGCTTAATTTTAAACCTCTTCAAGTAAATTGTTTCGAATCTATCCTGAGAGACCAGGATGTTGTTGGAGTCTTACCACCTGGATCTGGCAAGTCGATGCTGTTTCACGGCTGTACCGTTCTCGCCACGATAAAGAACAACTAAAGTTCCTCTTGTACAAGCAACTAAGCACAAAGCTAACCCGGCAAATAGTGAAGTTCGCGTGGAGAACCAATCCCATGGTCTTGCCTGATCACAAAGTGGCAGTAACTAAACAGTCCAAAAGCGATTATCAAGGAAGGAAATACGCACTCTAGTCAAAAGACTCCTATTATCTTTAGAAAAAACACTAAGCTGGAGTCTACTAAGTCACAATGCGATTCTCCATAGTAAAAGTTGAAGCAGCTTCAGTTTAAGCGGTACTTCATTCTTATAATTTTGGACCAGTAAATCTCTATCCGTGATGATTTAATAACGTCCTGCAAAGAAAGGTAACAAGCTGGGCCAGCGTGACATAAGCACGAGTTCACGAACAACAATTTTGCGTTTCACGAATTACGAAACCAATTTTTACGTTTTCACGATTTTTAAAATTAGAGGTCGTATAAAATGTCAAAAACGTTACGTTAGTCCCATTTTGTAAACAGAGTGCTTCGATTAAGTTATAACTAGAATTTACGAACCTACGAAAAAAACCTTTACTCGTACAGCTCGCCCACTACGCGTTGTTACTGCCCTCATAAATGTAAGGGAATCATCGTCATCATCTTCTTCCACAGGATTTTCATTCTCACTGTCCGTGTCATCCTCGACTTCCTTCTGGGGGTTGGTAGAAACTTCCTTGTCTTCTTCTTGCTCATTTGTCTGGAACAGATAAACCTTTTCCTTGGGGTAGTCTAAAGGCGATGAACGATACATATTTAGAGGTAAGGTGCCAGCTTTGAACTTGGTGGTCTCTTGCCTGACAGTGCGCTGACGAATACTTTTGCCATGCTAGACTGCCCATTCCCTGATGATTTCCTGTTCATTCGAATTCAAGCGCCTTGTTTTACCAAGATGGGGAAGTTTGGAATTTCTTTAATGCAATGGTAGTTTCTGGAACCGGATAATAGGGGATGGGATGGGGAGACTAATAGGCTGCTCAGTTAGTTATCATCATTTTGATACTGTCGTACACGGAGTTTCCTAGATTGCAAAGTTAAGAACTGTTGGAAAATCATCTTTAAAGTGATCCACAGCGTGAAGATTTTCTACTTGGGTAGTAAGACAAGAATGGATATCAACGTGGATGTCTTTGTTAATCTCTTGAATGGTGGAATGAGCTGGCTATAAATCATCTGCGCGGACTTTAAGGTCCGATTTGACACTGTCCCTTTGGGACCATTGGTGACTTTCTGAGAGTTAAGTGATTCTTGTACTGTACTCTTCCTTCAAGAAACCTTTTAAGGTTGGCAACTTCCTTCATCGCTTCAGTAATTGGTAAACGGGTAGCCGTTTGGTGTTTGAGATGAACAGAAAATGCTCTGTATAGTTTTGCAAGTTGTTTAAAAAAGATGACCGTGCCACTAATTGTGCATGATGGCTATGAGTTTCGGTCTGCGAATCAGTGACAAAGACGTTGCTATTTTCAGTGCAAATACCCATGGGCTGGCCAAATGAAGAATTCCCTGTTCTTCCTTCGTTGTTACCCTCAAAGCCATTTCCAGATATCACCTCAACGGTACCATCCTGACGGAAAGTTCCTGCATCATTGAATAAAACACCTTCACGTGTTCGGGTGATCTCTACGCGCGCGGCTATAAATTCCCTAGGGAAGCCAGCTGTAGGTGGGTCCGAGTGTACTGATGTGTGAAGTTACATCAAAAGACTCAGAAGTTAATTCAAGCTACCAGATGCTTGTTAAGGTCGTTTGGCCAAATTTACTATTTATTTTCTTCAATTGATCTTTAATGTACGTGAAAACAATCGAGGATTCTACCAGTTCATGTTTCACGGATTGCACTTCAATCACGATTCACAGAACAGTTTTTTAGTACATCACGATTCACGGACACCAAAAATGGTCGACCACGGCGTCATGAAAATACCCTTGCCCCCCCCCCCCCTCACATAACTTTGCAGAAAAACATTACATTCACAGACTAAATAGAATTGCTTAGTTATTCAGATCCAAAAGGCACTTTGGAGAAAATTAGGCGGAACCCTTATCCAACGGGAACAAAAAGCTTTACGCTTCAAAAGAGGTCAAAGAAAATGCTCTTGCATCAGAGGGCAAATCCTGCCGACCAGAAACAAAAACCACAGTAAATCGATATGTGCGCCATGACCTCTCAGTGTGAAACAAGCGGCTAAAATCACATTTGCTCAGTGAAATGTAGAACCTTCTGGAGCATAACCTACCTAGCAGAGGAGAAAAACTTATTGAAACAAGCAGCATTTTGGCATGAGGTAAAAGTCGTGTAGGCCTATACCACCCCCTTTCATTGCGGACCTCATTGAGGCTCATCCACATCGAGGCTTTCTGGTGGCATATCCTTTGATAGACGCTTCGACGGCTCATGCGAAGACGGTGAAAGTTGAACGTATCGCTTTAGAGAATATTTTGAGTTCAGATCAGACGGCGTATTGACTACAGATCGAGCTCTCCGAATAAACTGAACACATCCTTTTGTCTACGAATGTAACGCCACTCCTATATAACACTGCTGACCTCGTATCCTCCTCAGAAATTTTTTATACCACCGGTTTTATAAACATTTGAATACAGATCCTTATAAGTCGGCCTCGCTGAATATTCAAAGCGACATAGCGACTCTCATGAGAACCAGCACATATAGCCTGCAAACTGGATTTCTTGCAGAAGTCTGCGTTGGAGTGGACATACTTTCGGCCATTTAGATTTCGGTTTAACGCAAACATTATATTTTCATTTGGCCATGTTCTTACATGCGACCTAAATCAGTAAACCACAGCTCCCCCAAGCTGGAAATATGAGCATCGGCGAGCATCGGTTTACCTTTATATAGAGAGAAAACCGTTTACATAAAAACACATAAAACGGCCATAAATCCTGTCATTTTCTTAGGTTAGTGAAACGATAGGTTTTTTTCCCATACAAATCCTTATATTTTGAATGTTACGCAACAATGCCGATGCTCATATTTCGAGCTTGGGCTACCTGTGAGTAAACCAATCAAAATGACGGATGGGCCGGCCGATGCCTATAAGGGCCTTTTTCTCGCCCTACCTCCAAAGCCAGGGAAAAGCGCCCTGAGAAAGAGGTTGAAGCTGCTTTGATTGCGGGCGTATGGGCCTCTCTTCTCTCGATCCGTAGACCAAGGTTGAGAGCGCTAAGAAAATATTTCCTACTCTCTTACTTCACTGAGACAACATTCTTTACTTTACTTTCTCCATTTCAACAAAATGTTTGTGAATTCGAGTGTGTTTGTTTTAGACTAATTCTGCAGGGGTTAACTATAACCTTTTTGGTATATACATTTTTTGGATACCTGACAGTTTCTTCTGAATAAATCAATTATAACTATTTTTTAAAGCACATCTTAAAAGCGAATTAATTTATACAGGCAGTGGAACTGAAATGTGTATACTACGAACTAGAAAACTGTTTATAATGGCTAACGTTTGGAGGAATAGCGAGGCAAGACGTTCGTTATCAGTAACATTACCTAAATCAAATTAAGCGCCACAGAGGGCTAAGTGCACGCGCTTTAGATTATTTTAGGGAGGAACGATGCTGCTGCTGGTCGCCATTTTTCACGGAAGTTTCGCTGTCTTCATCGTCTTTCGCTGCCCAATAAAAATATAAGCATTCCTTAAGCAACTTTTTTTATATGAAGGCAAACATGCAAGGAACTGACATATAACACTACAGACTCTGAGGAAGGGAAATCCGTTAATTAAGGATTGGACAGAGTCTCAAGCACATAGACAACAAAGAAATCAAGTTTTCTATCGCCCGAAGGGAAATAACACCCTCCTCGATCTGCATAATAATAATAATAACAAAAGTAAATTATGATTATGATTAAAAAATCTCCCAGAATCTTTTCAGGCAGTTTTTTTAAAAAGCTTTATAACTTTGAAAATTTAATCGTAGAAACTATTATCCATATTGGATAACAATTTGTTCTAGAGAATGGAGATATATTTACCACAAACGGAGTTAAATTCAATTCGGCACCATTACATCCGACGTCTGAATCAGGTGCCGTGTTTAATTATTTTTAGTCGACAAAGATAGGAGTTCGGCACATGTGAATTTCGCCTTTTGAACCTGGCCTAACATGACATAAGTTTTAGCGTATTGGTTTGCAGGCTGTTGTTTAGTTGTTGTTGTTGTTGTTGTTTTTTTTTTCGGTAAGGACCATGCAGTAAGAGCAATTCGTATCTCTGGTTGTAAATCCGGCTTTTGTTCGCCAGACCAGAAATCAACAACAACAACAACGAGGTTTATTTGCATGACCATACAAGTACATACAGTATTGCAAAAGCTATGTTTAGGAATCAAAATGATAACACGGGGCAATTACGTTACTTTCATAATAATTTTGTCACGAACATCAAAACAAGTTGAAATATATTTTATGAATTGTATATTGATAAAGTAATTAGAAGAGTTCATCAGTTCATTAATCAAACCGTTTATAGGTAACTGGGTAATATTTGGAATCAGAGTCTTGACTTTAT